TGAAAGAAGCGTTCAACGTACCGTTGATTCATCCAGATTGAATGGCAAGTGAAAAATGTAAACAGCCGACGCCGACCCGTGCGACCAACCTCAATATAGAAAACATTGGGAGAGATGGCAGCCTGCGGAAGATGAAAAAGTGAACTGCTGCGAACTGGATGAACATATGTAAACAAGGATGTTCAATTTGGATGAATCCAATCTGAGTGATTCATTTTGGTTGTACATCCAAAGTGACACAGTGTAAACTCTGCTTAAGTAACAGCATATATATTTATATTAAGGCTCATTTACATTTGTCACTTTGGATGTACAACTTGGATGAATCATCCAAAGTGATAAGTATAAATTGTCTTTCATCACTGTTTCATCCAAAGTGTACACTAAAATTGAACGATGAAATAAGTTGACGGTCTTCCTACTTTTGTTGAAAGAAGCGTTCAACGAACCGTTGATTCATCCAGATTGAACGGCAAGTAAAGAATGTAAACAGCCGACGCCGACGCGTGCGACCAACCTCGATATAGAAAACACTGGGAGAGGTGGCAGCCTGCGGAAGATGAAACAGTGAACTGCTGCGAACTGGATGAACATATGTAAACAAGGATGTTCAATTTGGATGAATTCAATCTGAGTGATTCATTTTGATTGTACATCCAAAGTGACACAGTGTAAACTCTGTTTTAGTTGATAATACATTTACCGTTGTAATAAAATATGTGCTGGAGTATTTTCCGTGTATATTTCCCATCTATCTAACATTGCACAATATTGCCGTGTGAACGAAAAACGCATTAACGATAGCTGAGACAGAAATGTATTAATAAAAACATTAACAAAATGCAATGCAAAACATTTTATTTTCCTTTATTTTGGTAATTATAGTAAAATATAGTTTCACCTCAATGGTGTAAATCTAATGATTAAATTATATAAAAGTGCAACTATACAAATATTAACAAAAATAATCTCAATTTATTCAGGGTATCAGATAACGGGTTTTTTCTTAAGATAGTGGAATTCATGTTAATTTATGCTGAATAAAGGAACTTATCCTAAAATAAATATTGGTATATAATAATATGTCATAGTATTAAATTAAAAGATAATATATTTAATTTAACAAAATGATATTTAAATATAAACACAAAAAGATGTTGGATTAAAACTCAGAATTAAAGAATAATAATTGAATAAATATTTAGTTTTGAAAAATCATGAGAAAAGCTATATTTTCCATATCATTTATTATTGAATACTTCTGTTAACTGCCATCTCCTTAAGCAAGTCTTGGAAATTACGATCGATGACATTCTCCATATAATTTTACATATTAGATGACAGCGATCTGCATTTCATAGCCATCGTTGACGCCGTTTTTACTTCGATTATATTGTAAACAGTTAAAACCTTATAAACAGTTAAAACACATGTAGGGGCGCCCTCTACAAATAGCAGTCATATTGACATCAAAATCAAATTTATCATGTCAAAAAACTCCCAGACACCAATTTTTATCCAAACATTGACGTTACTTCAGAAATTATATGGAAAAAATCGAAATAAAAGTGAAATTTCTACACCCCAGAAACTAAGCATTTTAGGACATACATTAATAGGACGAACTCTTTTACTTATTTTTATATGCAGATTAGGCTGTCAAAGTTTCCGGAATACAGTTCGGACCCCCTGTATATATCAACGTAATCACAACATCGCCAGGAGCAACCCAACTTTGCCGGACAACGTCGATGTATAAGTTTTTCTCGCGAAAAAAAAAATAAAAATGTGGAGTTTTTTTAGTTTTTAGTTAAAAAACATAATTCCTTGATAATATGGCAACATAGGGAGTAGATTAAATTTACAAGAAAGAAAATCCAGAAAAGATCCAGTTGTTATCAAAATTTTAGGAAAAAAAAATCTTTTTTTGGCCAGTGCCGAGATTGAGATGCTCGCATCCAAAATGTAGTTTCTATCTTTTATAAAGTCCATAAACTGTTTGGACCTAGTAATTTCCTAACCTAACCTAACCAACCATACATACTGACATACTGGTGATTGATTATAGTGTTTTTCGGCTACTTTCGGCAACTTTTTCTTCAATTGCACTTAAAGAATCGTTTTCAAATCGAAACATTTTTAGAGAATACCTATTAAAAATAATTTACGTCTAAGTGATAAATGTGTCATTGTCACTTAGACATTCAGCAGGAAATTTTCGCCGGGTAATTTTCGATTTTAGCGGGCAATTTTCGCCGAAAATTACCCGCTTCATATGGGATTTTTTGTACCGGGTGACCAACTAAGAATGGACGCCGGCTGTATCTCAGAAACTACTTATCGTATAACTTTGGGAAAAAAAATCTAATAAGTAAATCGATCAAGAAAAATCGCTGGAAATTATTTTCAAGTTCGAAAAATGTCCGCTAGGGGGCGTTTCTCTGATAGCCAATCAGAAAACAGGGTTTTTCTCAAAAATATGCATGTGAACAGGTATTTTAAATATTACTAATGTACTCATCGAGAAATTTGTAATTTTTTTGATATAGAGTAATTTGCTCTATCTCATAAAATAAAGTGGTGGGGGAAGGTTAAACTTGCTTTTATTAAAATAAGGATAACTCTGATTTAGGTTAACCGATTTAAACAAACTAGGGCTCATTAAAAGAGCTTTTCTTCCTTAATGATCTTCAGTATAAATTTTGTTTCCATAATTTTTTTCGTGGTAGCTAGAGGGCGCTGTTTGACATCATAACAGATATTGCGCTTTTCCATTAAAAATTTAAATAGGAGGCTATATTTCTCTTTGCACAGTTAAATACACCAGAAAATTTCCAAAATATTAGAGCAAACCGCAACTTTTTATCTTGTCTCTAACCGGAGATATTAAGAGAACAAATTATGTTAGGCTGCCGCTTATTATTATATAGTCTAAAAATTATAGTAGTAGGCTAGGAAACAAAAAGAGGTAAATTGGTTACGTCAAAATATCAAAACGTTTAAGTTCAGTTTTAATGCATCCGAATTTCGGGCGGTTTCTTAAAAAAGTTGACGTCATAAATTTTTAAACGTGTTTATGTAACATTATCGTCCATTATTACATCCACATAATTTTTACGAATTTCTTGGTTAATTATACATAGGTAGTTCTCAGATTATAATGTCGGAAAGTCGGACAATCAATAATTTTATTAAAATTTCTAGGAATTATGTGCCGCCATATTGCTTTTAACATAAAACGGCCAAATTTCTTATGGCCGAAAACTAGGGGTTTATTTCATGTAACGTCATTTAGCTATTAATTCAAGTTCGTCCTTGATTTCACTTGTTTTTGTGTTTTACCTGTTGTTTGTGTTATTTATTATTATATTATAAAGTTTATGTCGTTTGGGTCACTTTTCATATAGCCCCGAAGGTACGATTGTTAACAATATGAACTACTGGTCCAAATCTATTCTGGATGCAAGTAGTTCAGCACCAAGACCGTTGGTCGATACTTGTTTAGGCAGGAATTCTAGGATGGCGAATGATTATCTGAATGAAATGAACTATCCATAATTTCTAAGAGATAAATTGCCAATTTTGTTAGGGGATCCATCATGACGAAATTGCATTTGTCGCAATTTAATCAGCATGAATGCAGTTGGTGTAGATCATGCAGTTGGTGCAGTTGTGTCGCTTATTCTGCTATGAATGTGTGGAGCTTCTTGGATACCACTTACTTTAGTAGATAGAGACGCTGGAGCGGCATATTTCCATGGCCAGCTAGGTCATCGAATTCAATATGCCGTTATAGGGTTTTAATTTATGGGGTCGAATCAAGAACGAAAGTTACGGTTTGCGCTGATATTTTGGACATTTTGTGCTCTATTTAACTGTGCAAAGAGAAATATAGCCTCCTATTTAATTTTTTTATGCAAAAGCGCAATATCGGTTATGATGTCAAACAGCGCCCTCTAGCTACCACGAAAAAAATTATGGAAACAAAATTTATACTGGAGATCATTAAGGAAAAAAAGCTCTTTTAAGCGAGACCTAGTTTGTTTCAATCGGTTAACCCAAACCAGAGTTATACCTATTTTAATAAAAGCAAGTTTAACCTTCCCCCACCGCTTTATTTTATGAGATAGAATAAAACACTCTATATCAAAAAAAATTACAAATTTCTCGATGATTACAATAGTAATTATTTAAAGTACCTGTTCACCTGCATATTTTTGAGAAAAACCCTGTTTTCTGATTGGCCATCAAAAAAACACCCCCTAGCGGACATTTTACGAACTTGAAAATAATTTCCAATCGCTGGAATCTCTTGGTCGATTTACTTATTAGAATTTTTTTCCCAGAATAAGGAGTTTCTCAGATACAGCCGGCGTCCATTCTTAGTTGGCCACCCGGTACATGAGTGAAATATTCATAGTAAAATCAATCGGTTATTTTGGATTTATTTGAAAACCGGTAAAGAGAAAATATGTTTCTTATAAAATCGTTTATCGAGATCTACCAGCTCTGAAAATATCTGCACTTATTTAAAACTCACCCTGTATATACTAAAGATATCTTCATTAATACAAGGTGATCCAAATTTGTTGTCAGTAAAATTTTATTTTTCCAATCAGAATACTGTAGGTATATTTTTTCTTTCATTGAACTTTCCATAAAATTCCTATTTCAAAAGTATCTACCATACTGTCATAGATATAATCTATACTGGGTGGCTTCTGAAAGATGGCCACTTAACTACTTTTTAAAGCATGTTTAAAACTTTCTCAAAATATAAATATTGCAATGCTGTTTTTGATATAAACATTTTATAAATATATTTAGTTTGTTTTCGAGATTTAAAATACCATCTTGCTATGTTATTCTTTACAGCGTGTAATATTAAGGAACAATTACAATGAATGTCGAGATAACTGGTCAATGAGATAATTATAATGTAGCCATTTGACATTATTTCTAGTAATTAATGTTTTTGTAATTGAACACAAGCTTATCTTCTCAAGAATTGATATATACGTTCAGTATTATTCTAGCCTTTGCTTAAATCAAATCTGTATTAAGATAATTATTTTTGAAATGAATTGCTAAATTTGGGATATTTATAGATTTTTGTTCAGTAAGAACACCAAAATGTGAGTGAAATTGTCTTAGTATTTTGTAATTAGAAAATAATTTTAAATATTTCTATAGGTTAAAAATAATATGGGTATTTGGGATTTTTTTTGTCTGTACTTGGGCTGTTCATATAACAAAACTGGCTACCGAAGTTACAGTAGTTGATACAGAGTTACTTCCTAATGAGCACTTAAATCTGAAAGGTACCAAAAAGTTAAGCAAGAGTAACATAGAACATATTATACTTAAAAATTGCAGTGGTGTAATTGATGGTACTTCACTGAAACATTTTCCAAAAGTAAGTAGATTTTTGTATTTTTATATAATATACAGGGTTATTCACCTTAATGGACACGGAGTATTGTAGCCAAACGACTAGATTTTTACAAATTGTAAGTTTTGGGTTCGTTGTATTGATAGTCATACAACGAACCCAAAAAAGCTACAATTTAGAAATATTTTTACAAGATCCAGAGTGTCCCAAATAAATAAAAATATCAAAGTTTTATTTTTTTAACGGAACACCCCGTATATTATTACATTTTTAGATTATACGATTAAAATAAAGGTAAATATGATTAAGGTTTGGCGCATTTTAGTCTTACCGTTTTTGAAATATTTAGGTTTATGTCAAAATACAGTAATAATTTTAAGGCTTCATTTCTCTAGGTATACCGGGTGCGTCTCAAAAGTGGCTCACCCCTATAACTTTTTTATTTTTTCAGATAAAACTAAAATTAAGATTGATGGACATATCCAATTGTTTTCTGTCACTTCCGGTTTCACCGGAAATGACTAGAACTTTTGATTTTTAAGTGGCACCCTCGGTATTTTTTTACTTTATTGGATAAAAAATGACACTCTGAATAGAATGACATATCGTATGTCAACTTTTGACATTTTCGCTCAACTTTTTGACATTTCAAATTGTAACCTGCGATTCATAACGATAATTTGACTCAAAATACCAAGTGTGTGGTATCAAATTATTCGTAAAAAAATGCTTTTTTCAAATATGCTAACGAGCCACCTTCGTTCCATTTGATAAATTGAGATATGATTAAAAATACGATTTGAGCATCTTTTATCTGGCCAGGACACGACACTAAAAACATTAGACGATCAAATCTATTTTTCCAAGGCTCCTTGATTAAAAACTAGTGTTTTTAACACAGCCATGGCACTCTAGATTGAAATTTAAAATACAGTTGGTTTTTGAGCGACTATGTCAAAAGTTGACATATGATATGTCATTCGATTCAGAGTGTCATTTTCTATCGAATAAAGTAAAAAAATGCCGAGGGTGCCATTTAAAAATCAAAAGTTGTAGTAATTTCCGGTGAAACAGGGAGTGACCGAAAACAATTGAATACGACAATCAGTCCTAATTTATGTCATATACTAACATGCCAAATCAAGTTTTTTTTATCTGAAAAAATAAAAAAGTTATAGGGGGTGAGCCATTTTTGAGACGCACCCGGTATTTAAGTTTTTAAAACCAACTATTGTAATGATTTTTTTTTATTTACTACATATTGTGTTGCAATAATAAAAATAATACCACTTTATACAGAGTATCTAAAATTTTATTTTAAATAATTACTAGCTAAAAACGACAATAACTTTTTTAAATTAAATGGAACATCCTGTATATTTTACATTAATCCGATACGCAATTTAATTGTCTATCAAGTTGTGTTATACCATTTTTTATCTATATTTATAAGTTATCGTAGAAATTATAAAATGCATTTTCCTATAATTTAGACCTCATTTATCGATATATCCATAAAATATTGACATTGTAGATTTTTTTAAACCAACAAATGTACAAAATGTACAGCTGTTAAAAACGATAATATTGCTAGACAATTTGTTTACAAAAAGAAAACTAAATTAAAAATTAAATCTCTGTAAAAGATTTTCAGGCTGGGGTATTTTGTCAAATATTAAGACAACATTCGGTTAACTGTATAACTGATAGTGTATTTGGAGTGTCAAAAATCTTAGGCTATTCTTTATTGAGAAAGCTAAATAATCCTTAAGATATTATGTGTAACGAAATATACCGCCCAAATATTAAATAATTACATACTCAATTGTGTTATAATACAATGGTTATAAATCAAATGGTATATAATACAATTTTATAGACAACTAAACTGTGCATTTGACTTATGTAAAATATACAGGACTTTCCGTTATACAGTACTGATTTTTCAGCTACACAAACTTACAATATGGAGATCAGATATCAGATCCATCAGCACTATATTTCCCATAAATAATTTGATATCAGTTGGATCACGTCTACCCAACCTCGATGAACAACTCCAGAGGAAATTACCAAAACTACAAACATTATTCCTCATCGGTAACAAGGACTTCGAAGTAGATCCTTACGTTTTCAGAAAATTCAAGTCGCTGGTAGCTCTGTATATTTCTGAAGCCAATTTTACTGAAACTTGTATCACCAAAGAATGGTTTAAAGATATGGGACAATTGGAAGAACTCAGTTTGAGCGATAACAATCTTGACTGCATCTCCGAAGACGCTTTTAACAATTTAAAGGTTTTAAGAAAACTGGATTTAACATATAACAAATTTACTACTTTGGATAAAAAGGTATTTAAAAAACTGACAAAACTAGAAAATCTGGGTATATATAATAACAATATTGAAGATTTTGATATAAATTTTTTGGATAGCCAAAGAAAACATCTTGAAGGGTTAGGTATTTCTTGGTCTATGCTTAGTAACCTTGATGCTGAGAGTTTTTTGAAACTTTTGCCTAAACTAAAGTGGGTTTCTTTTGGACACGAAGAAATGCCCAACGATTTTCAGGCTGGGGTATTTTGTCAAATATTAAGACAACATTCGGTTAACTGTATAACTGATAGTGTATTTGGAGTGTCAAAAATCTTAGGCTATTCTTTATAGAGAAAGCTAAATAATCCTTAAGATATTATGTGTAACAAAAACTAAAATTTATACTGTCCTATATACTTAGTTTAAGTATTTTCATTCTGCCGTAGTTAAATACTTTTGATGCTTATTGTGTTATATTAAGTTTATCTTCATTGACTTTCTAAACTAGTTTTGCCTTTTAAACTTTGCAGTAAGTAAATAGTGCATTGAAAAAACTAATACATACTAGTACAGTATATACAGGGTGTCCCAGGCTGAGCGTGCATTAGAAGTTTCTAGAGAACTACAATATCTAGATCGGAGATTTTTTGCATATTATTGTTTTACAACGAGATTTATCGATTAAAAATATTTTCAATATGGCGGCACATCCGGAAATACCGGAAGTTGACAGCAACTTTCTTATTTTAAATGGGTACACCCATTTTTTATTACATATTTGAATTCTCTGTAACAGTTTATGAATTTTGATATAAACACTCTATACCTAACATTAACCGTTTTAAAGAAAAAAAATATTTAAAATTTTTGAACGAAAAAAACTGCCTGTCAAAAATATGTGTATAGCCTAAACGTCAAATTTAGTAATTACCACAGTCACTGTGACATAAAAAGAAGACATATGGCTATCTATTTCAAAAATGAAATTGTTCGAATGTCATATTATAATGACAGCAGCTGTCATGGAATTGAGCGATTAAAAAATTATCATAAATCATTTTTTTTCAAATGGAAACCCACTTTTTTTTATTTCACTAGTAAAAATGCTTTTCAATTTGTTACTTTTTGACTCTACATGTTCCTATATCTAAAATAAATTATTTTTAAGTTTTAAAACCTATATTTTTCTTGATTTTAATAGGAAATTCGAATAATTCGTTTGCTGACAGATGGAAATAAATTGTCTGACTGTTTGAACACATAATGTCAAAGGATGCTAGATAAAATCAAGAAAAATATATGTTTTCAAACTAAATCTTAAATAACTTAAAAACGATTTATTTTAGGTATAGGAACATGTATATTCGAAAAGTAACGAATTGGAAAACCTTTGCAATAGTGAAATAAAAAAGTGGGTTTCCATTTGAAAAAAAAAATGATTTATGATAATTTTTTAATCGCTCAACTCCATGACAGCTACCGCCATTATTATATGACATTTGAACAATTTAATTTTTGAAATAGATAGCCACATGTCCTCTCTTTATGTCACAGTGGCTGTGGTAATCACTAAATTTGACTTTTATGCTATACAAATTTATTTGACATGTAGTTTTTTTCGTCCAAAAATTTTAAAAATTTTTTTTCTCAAAAACGGTTAATGTTATGTATAGCATATCAAAATTCATAAAAATTTTCAGAGAATTTAAATATGTAATAAAAAATGGGGGTACCCATTTAAAATAAGAAAGTTGCTGTCAACTTCCGGTATTTTCGGAAGTGCCGCCATATTGAAAATATTTTTAATCGACAGATCTCGTTGTAAAACAATGATATGCAAAAAATCTCCGATCTAAATATTGTGGTTCTCTAGAAACTTCTAATGCACGCTTAGCCTGGGACACCCTGTATATAATATAGCGTTGCTATATATTCTGTAATACTAGTATGTAAAACTAGGTAAAACATAGTTTGAGTAACAGTGTATTACCACAAACTTATCAATATCCTATCCGCATTTTTGCTAGGATATCTACCTAGTATGGGCAATAATGCACTGTTTACAATGTTACTGGGTATTATGATCCATAACCCTCCAAAGAAATGTTGAAAAACAAGTATATAATAGCACCTTAAAACACAAAACACAGATTATATACAAATTAAGCACAAATAATTATATTTTTTGTGCCAAATGCTTTTGGAATTTTTTTGTCATCAGTCTTTAGGCATTATTACCATACTAATACGTACATACACAGGTACATATCTATATCTCTTAGAATATTTTTATCTACAATAAAATATATCTTTAATAAACTGACACAATAAAACTACCTTTTTAAATATATCTTTTTATTAAAAAAATAAGCATGTTATAATACAATGCGAAATGCTCTCATCTTGATTCTATAACAAAATGCCATGATAGGAAATACAGCTGATGATATCACAGGTAATAATTATTATCATTGAAAGAATTATTTATATTATTTAGTAATACTGATATAAATGAAAAATTATATATACAAAATATTCGATAAGCAGTAAACAACAAGAGATGAAGTTTTGAATTCTGGTAATGTAATAAAACTTCTGCAAAACACTCTTTACACTAAGATAAAGCTATTTTACCAAGTTTTTGACTACTAACCGATACAGACAAATAGGGGTATTATAGGAGATAATACACATGAAATAAATGTTTAGACAAAATTATTTACAATTAGTTTTATGTCCTTCTTTGTTGTTAATGGTGTCCATATCCACCCGATGAATAACCACCTCCTAAACTACCAGAGTGACTACCAAAATCACTTCCGGAACTGAAGGATATGTGACTACCTCCAAAATCTCCTCCTAAACTTTCGTAGCCGCCTCCAAAATGTCCTCCATCTATGCTACCTCCGTATCCACCTCCAAGTCCACTACCAGTGTCGCCACCATATCCATGTCCACCTAAAAAGAAAACAAATCTATATCTTATTACTTGAAAATACATCTAAGACTTTCGCCACTTCTTCGCCAGAAAATCTAACTGAAAAAATGCGTAACTTTTGTGGAGGTATTGTCAGAAGCAAAAACAAACACAAAGAATAAGGAAAAAATATATTTAAACATATTTGTCTTATTTAACAGATACCTACGTCTATTATAAACCCGCTGAGTTCTATTAAAAAAAATATAACAGAACGGTTTATAATATCTGAACATACTATATGTTGCCTGTAACTTATCAACCTCTAGAATAGTCTATTATGCCCTTTTTGAGTCGCATCCTCGTTATGCCTTTCCATTCTGGGGTACTTGCTGCGCGACAAAACTTAATCGTATTTTCAAACTTCAAAAAAGAACAGTTCGATATTTATTGGGATTGAACAGTAGAACTCACTGCCAGAATTTCTTTAAAAATTTCAAAATATTGACTCTTCCTTCTTTATTCATTTTTGAATCCGTTTGCTTAATCCGCAAGCACATATCTGCTATTCCCGAAAGGTCATCTCACATCTCATAACTATCCACTTAGGAATGCGGAGCACGATCTTTATCTGCCAACCTCGAGCTCAGAACTAGTTAAAGGCTCTATACTGTACAATGCCAAAAAAATGTACAATCAGCTGCCTTTGAATATCAAGTCGCTTTCATTCTTTCCCGCATTTCGCAAAGCTCTGAAATCATACTTACTGGAGAGAGCCCTATATGCGATAAACGATTTTGTTGTTGATGTTTAATCATGGACAATTTTGAATTTTAAAATTTTGATCACTCACACACTGGTTAAAAGTCTAGTATTTAATATATTATGACTCTTAAATGATTATATCCATTTACAATTTTCCTATTGTAAAATTTTATTGATACGCCTTTTTATGTCCATGTATTAATGTACTAATTTTAATGACGCAATTTTTTTTGAATTGTATGATTTGTATTGCATGATATTTTTTATTATTTGTATATTTTTTGTGCTTTTGTTTGTTTTGTAAATGCTTTGTCGATGAAGCTTTTTGGCTTTTTGTACAATAAGCGTTGTTTATTTATTTATTTAAATTATCTGTTACACATCTAAAGTGTTCTTGAATAGTTGTATTTATATATTTAATTTTTTTTACATTATTTCTTTAAGATCACAGACTTACCGACAATAACTGGTACTAGCTTTTTGACGATATTTATTTCTGGTACATGAACTGGAACGGGTTTGTGGACTGGAACTGGAATGGGTTTGGGAACGTGCACTGGTACTTTAACCGGAACTGGTACTTTATAGGGTACACTAACTGGTACTGGGACATTTTTGATTACCTACAAATACATTATATTATATACCTAAGTTAAACAGTTCTTGAAATAATTTGAATTTTATGTAAAAAATTTGATATTAATTTTGAAAAGTAGGTACCTTATTTAATTTATATATTTTATCTATAAGAAATGAATAAAACAGTTTGGCCTAAATGTAAATATATAAACAGGTCTTATCATGTATACAGGGTGAGTTTTCTACGATGTTCTCTATGGGTATCTGGGAAACTAATGAAGATAGAGAGTCGGTTAAATGGGGAAAGAATTGCAGTTTTGTGGGGTCATAAATTTCCTATCAGATTTTTGAAAAAGTTTATGGCTTACTAGATATTTCGAAAAAAACAAAATTCGGCTATTTTAAAAATTGTCCCTAATTTCATTATAATGTATTATACACAAAAAGTTTTCAGATAAAAGTTATAGATAATAACATCCTTAAAAAGATTATGTCATCCGTTTTTTTATAAAGCCTATCATTTTTGATATATGACACATGATATATTTTTTTTAATGAAAACCATAGTTGGCCATGACTTCATAAAAGCGCCATTTTTTAAGCTTTTCATCGATATAAGCTATACTATGTTTTTTTTTGTAAAAAGTACTGAGTTATAGCCAATCATTTTTAAACAATTTCATTTAGCCATGGAACATGGAAACAAGTTCAATCGTCGTTGCGCTCAGAAATGTGAAACCGCCGCATTCAAATTTTGTAAACTAAAATAAACAGAAATTGTAAATATGAATTTTCCAAATGAACAAAAGCGTGTAGGATTATTGATTCAACTTTTCTTGGCCATACATTTTCGAAGATACGTTGACCGGTGAACGTTACTTACGTTTTTTAGAGAACGGTTTTCAAGACACGCTAGAAAAGTTAAATTTAGATACTTGCGCATCAGTAGAGTGGTTCCAACATGACTTTCATTATGACACCCCCAATAATAAAAGAAATGTTAACAATTATTTATATCATTATTATGCAAACTCAGGGATAGGAAGAGGTGAACCCATTGCATGGATATCCTCCATCACCTGACCTATCCATTTTAGATTTTTTTTATGTGGTACGGTTACCAAGAAGGTTTACAAAAGAACTTATGAATTAAGAGAGGCACTCGAAGAGGCGGTACGGGAGAAGTTTAATTAAGTCGACTGGTCGTGCGAGAATAGCTAGTACTTCAGTTTTAAAAAGATGCATTTATGTATTCAAAACAATGACGGATTTTTTGAATATTTTCTAAAATAACTTAAAGTAAAATGTATGTAGTGATATTATTTTATAAGTTTTAGTTTGTCTAATGTAAATTGTAAATAACCGTTTAGGCGTTTAATAATATATTCTGTCTTTTTATAAGTTATAAATCATAACAGAATAAGAATACTATGCCAACTAAGTGAAATTAGTCGAGAAAGATAAGAATTGGTTATAACTCAATAATTTTTATAACAAAACATATTATAGCTTATATCGCTGAAAAGCCTAAAAAATGGCGCTTTTTATGAAGTCATGGCCAACTATGGTTACCATTTAAAAAACATATATAAGTGTTATATGTCAAAAATGACAAGCTTTAGAAAAAATCGGAGAACACAAACTCGTTAGGGATGTGATTATCTACAACTTTTATCTGAAAACTTTTTGTCTAAAATAGATTATAAAGGAGTTATAAAAGAGGGAAAATTTTTAAAATAGCCAAAATTTGTTTTTTTTCGAAATATCTAGTAAGCCATAAACTTTTTCAAAAATCCGAAAAGCGCACATTTATGACCCCATAAAACTTCAATTCTTTCTCAGTTTAACTGACTTTCTATCTCCAGTAGTTTCCGAGATACCCATAGAGAACATCGTAGGAAACTCACCCTGTATGTTATTAAACTTACTTTTACTGGATATGGTTTATCTACTGGCACTGGATAAGGCTTGGGTACATGCACTGGATATGGCTTGTCTACTTTAACAGGGACTGGCACTTTGACTGGTACCGGGACCTTCTTTTCGACTCTCACTGGTACTGGAACTGGGTGTGGAACAGCAATTTCTCTGTGGAGAGTGATGTGGGTTATTCTGCCTTGATCAGCACCACCAAGTCCCCCTCCAGATCCACCACCATATCCACCTCCATATCCATAACCACTTCCATATCCACCCCCAGTACCTCCACTGTAACCGCCTTGTCCGCTGGAGTATCCACTGGAGATAGCTCCAGATCCTGAACTTATAGATGATAAATCACCATGACCTGTTATTCAAAAAAAGAACAAATTAAGTTAACAAGTGAAAAGCAAATTTGATTCTTGCTAACTCCCAATTTTGATATCGAATATGTAACAAATGATGGTTGTTGATTTATTTATAGAATTTAGTAAACAAAATTAGGTTTTTTTATTCTAAGAGCTACAGAGGCCCGAAACTCTGTTGCCGGACCCTCTATATTACTTGGACCTTTAAGTAAATTTATAATATTTTACATGTAATACGACTTGTAATTACAAAGAGGTATTAAACTGAAAAGATACATTATACAAACTATAGTGGTTGTTCTTTTACCATTACCTTAAAAGTAACTTTAAAATTAGTATAATGTTTACCTCCTGAAAAACCTCCAGATGAGAATCCACCTCCATGTCCACCACCATATCCACCTGAACCTTAATTAAAAATAAAAATAGATTAATTCAGTATAACCTCATAATATTTATAGTTATATTTTACCTCCACCTAGATCTCCAAGACTGATAAGACCTCTTTTTGATTTTGTACTTTGGACAGCTTCTTTTTTGCCCAAAGTGAGAGTGGAGGTTGCTAGTAGTACAGTGCAAACCTATGAAAATAGAAGTGATTATTATTTTACACTTAAGTGAGGAGGGGGGAGTATATAAAAATACTTACGTGGATAAGTAAATCACTAGAGAAACTGTCGCAAACATATCAACGACTTCCATTTATATCCTTTTTTTGTTGCACACACGGTGCTTCTACTCTATCTATCCTTGTCGAGGACCTATCGTCCGCGCGCCAAATTTGAATAATACTATTAAAAATTTAATTTGTAAAATGCTTATATTTGAACAATAAATTGAATGTTTGCTGTCACAAAAATTAAAATTATAAAAATATATTTAGCCACTCCGTACGAATGTCAATATTCTTAAGAAATCTAACCAGAAAGTATGCATGTGGCTTAATATAAATAAAAGAACAACTGAATACTTTACTTGCCTATGAAAAAATAATTCGGAGACCTTTATATTAGAACTTTCACACACTAAACACTTTATAGTCATTTTTACGAGTATTTAGAAAGTCCAAGGAAAAAAAAAAGAAATATACTTGCACAAATTTAAAATTAACTTCTCACTGAACACACTTGCAAGAGTAATTAATATAATTTTTAAAATAAAAACCGCAAAAAGAAGCGTCGTTACATAATGGAAATAAGATTATGACAATATGATGACAATGAAAAATTGGTTTATAACAATGTGTAATTTGTACTTTCTAAAACCGTATAAAATTGTGATTATTTTGGAAATACGTACAACTTTTAATGCGCATGCGTAAAGTAAAGTCCTCCAAAAAGACAAAACTATTGAACGTTTCATAAGTGCAATAAAGAAGGTTTGAAAATGGCATGTCGTGAGGTTAGAGACATATTTTTTAATGCTAAACTTATGGCGTTGATTTATCCACGTAAGTATATATGATCTAGGTATTTGACAAATAATGATGACGTAACGGTGAACGATTGCTGAACAGTCTATACATAAGAAACATATAATATATTTTTGAACTAAATTGACCAGATAACAATCCCCCCCCCCTTTCTATCATATAATATTTCCCTTGACTGACTATACTTACCAGAAACTTCATCTTGCCTAGCTAATGATAAAACGAGAACTGCTATAGATTTGGTGGGTGCAAGTTGGTTTTTATACCTAGCCCATCCTCCCCTAAATTTGCGGTAATAGTTCTGTTCGATAAGTACCCGATTGTGGATCCTTTTAGTACCGTACTTTCTCCCCTATAAAACGAGCAACGTAGATTTACTCTTAGAGATGTTCAATTTCAGAGAGAATATCGATATTCAAATCAGCGGCGTAGTGTTAATACTTGGGGATGTTATCAGTAACTGCAATTAAAATTTTACCAACAGTCTTTAATATTGAAGTTACAAAAATAAAATATACAAAAAATGTAACAGATTAAAAAAAATAATCAAACCAATTATAAATAAATAATAAATAAATAAACAACGCTTTATTGTACAAAAAGCCAAAATAGTTTCATCGTCAAAGCATTTACAAAACAAACAAAAGCACAAAAATAAATATACAAATAATAAAAAATGTCATACAATACAAACCAATTCAAAAACATTTACGTCATTAAAATTACAAATAAAACATACATGGACATTGCAGAACACAGGCGTATCAATAAAATTTTACAAAAGGAAAATTGTAAATGGGTAAAATCATGTAAGAGTTATAAAATATTAAATATTAAATACTAGACTTTTAACCAGTGTGTGAGATGATAAAAATTTTAAAATTCAAAATTGTTCATGATTAAACATCAACAAAAATGTCATTTACCGCATATAGGGCTCTCTCCAGTAAGTATGATTTCAGAGCTTTGCGAAATGCGGGAAAGAATGAAAGTGACTTGATATTCAAAGGCCAATGATAATTGGCCTACATTTTTTGGCATTGTACAGTATTTGAGCCTTTAACTAGTTCTGAGCTCGGGGTTGGCAGATAAAGATCGTGCTCCGTTCAAACCATTCCTAAGTGAACCAAACCATTCCTAAGTGGATAGTTGTGAGATGGCCTTGCATGAATATCAGATATGTGCTTGCGGATTAAACAAACGAATTCAAAAATGAATAAGGAAGGAAGAGTCAGTATTTTGAAGTTTTTAAAGAAATTCTGGCAGTGAGTTCTACTGTTCAGTCCCAATAAATATGCTCTCTTTTGAAGTTTGAAAATACGATCAAATTTTGGCGCGCAGCAAGTACCCCAGAATGGAAGGTCATAACGAAGATGCGACTCAAAAAGGGCATAATAGACCATTCTAGAGGTTGATAAGTTAAGTTTCTTAGAAACTGATCTTAGTGCAAAACAGACAGCGCTTAGTTTCTTTGATAAAGCTTCGATGTGCAAGTCCCATTTTAACAAGTTGTCTACAACAAGTCTTAAGAATTTCACGACGTCAATAGTGGTGTTATAAGGTACAAAATGTTGTATAGTACTTTTATATGACAAAACTTTAGTTTTTGAAACTATGAGGCATAGGAGATTAGAATCGCACCAAGATTTAATGGAGCGTAAGTCACTGGATATAGTATTATATAGTGCCGTAACGTCTGGGCCGCTCCAAGTGAAACTAGTATCGTCCGCCAAGAGGCAGATTTTACCGCTAATGTATAGAATTGCAATGTCGTTGATAAACACCAGAAACAAAATAGGGCCAAGACTGAACCCTGAATTTAAATAAAGAACCAAATTTAGGCCAAAAAAAACAAAGCTGCGTGAACGTATCTGTTAGATAAAATAGTAGTAGGCGTTCGGCGACCCAATGTACAAAATAATTTAGTTAAAATAATCCTCTACTGAGAGGTAGGCATAAAAAAAATTATTTAAAATTTCTACCATTTAAAAAAATCTACAACATGTTTCGGGAATAATAATTCCATCTTCAGGCCCGGAAGCTAAAATGTTATAAATAAAAAACAATCAAAGTCAAACATATTTGCGAAAAGAACAAAGTCAAGTAACAAAACAATAAAATACTGGTAAAGTCATAAAAGTTAAAATTATCCAAATTATTTGTACAAAGAAATATTACAAATGCCAAGATCAGCTTTATAACTACTAAATTACAATTACCATGGCAGCATTTATCTATGTAAAATTTCTTAAATATCATGCGAAGTACATAAAACTACTTTTAAATGAAGTGGTAAAATTCAGATTTAGGTAAAAATAAAAACTTTTTTTAATTATTGACCTGTGGGTAGGTATGATAAAATTGATGTAGGTAGTGACCTTTTTGAGTAAGTACCGATTGATGGTTTATTGTTTAAGTTAGAATAAAAAGCAAACCAATACAAGATAAAATATAATTAATACTGATTTACTTAATTCTAATTTACTATATATAAATTTAAATAATTAAAATACATCCTAGGAACTAAATTCGATTATCACATTAAATACAACAAATATTTTGGCTCCTCTTACCTTGCTTTTGACCATGCATGCGAAACCTGGACACTTAAAACGGGCATCATAAGGAAACTGCAGGTCGCACAATTCAATATAACGGAATATGCTGGGAATAACCAAGGGAGACCGTAAAAGAATAGAGTGGATACGACAAAAGACCCGGGTAATAGGTGTCGTCCACCGAGCCAAATCCCCCAAATGGCAATGGGCAGGACACCTGGCAAGAAGAACGGACAACAGATGGACCACAAAAATTACAGCATGATACCCACGAGGAATTAAGAGACCTAGAGGAAGACTGAGATTTGGACCATGACACTAGGAAACTAGCAGTCATAATTAGCTGAATAAGCTGAAAATTATGATGATAATGATACCGATATTAAGATATTTCGATATATTAACACATCCCTAAGTTATTTTGCATCGAAATACGAGTACAGCCGGTTTCAAAGGTAATTCACGATTTTTTCTACCCAACCTATAATGAAGTGAATAGTTATTATGCCATCTCCGTTCGTGATTATTATTTATTCGCCTGTTAAGTAGGAAGAAAAGTGATGAATAAAATGTATAACATTAGGAATATTATCGTGTTTCATGCATCTGTTGGTTTAATTTCCTATCTGTTAAGTAAAAAACTTAGCAGAGGAATTAATGGGTTAGGTATTTCCTTATTAGTTTAGCCTTAGGTGCCTAGTTTTATATGTTTGTTAAACAAATTGGAAATTTACTACTTTGTTGTAGGTACTGAGATGACCCAATCGTTTTGACCTAAATTCAATCGTTTACTGTCCATTCGTGCCGATGTTTTTGCTTCAGTATGACTTAAAGAGTGAAAATAAGGGCCTTGTTGCGTGTACTAATAATTTCCAACCGTGCCTGGGCGAATATCTTTGCAAACAATTGAGCAGTCAAAACCAATAAATGGTATAATATAACTCATAGTCTAAAGATATTGGCACCAAACATATCAACAAGTATAGCTGAGTACTGAGTAGCCTCCCGAATCTAAGGATATCAGTACCTGCTAACTAACAAAACCTCTTAAGTTATGAATGTTTTAAGTGTGTTAAACCTAAAACTTTGGTATGAAGACTGTATTTGTACCTTACTGTTATTACTTTATTTATTAAAGTTCAGAATAGCTTAGTTGGATTTTTTGGAATACTGATCAGGATTTTCACTGCTGAGCCCTTTTACTTCTGAATTCCATGCAGAGTTTTTTCATTTCCATTATTTATTAATTGTATACAGGGTGGTCCAAACTGTATTCCGGAAACTTCGGCAGCATATTTTGCAGATAAAAATAAGTAAAAAAGTTCGGATAAATGTATGTCCTAAAATGCTTAGTTTCGGAGATACAGGGTGTAGAATTTTCATTTTTATTTCGATTTTTTCCAAATAATTTCTGAAGTAACGTCAATATTTAGATGAAAATTGGTGTCTGGGAGTTTTTTGACATGAGAAATTTGATTTTGATGTCAATATGTTGTATATTTGTAGGGAGCGCCACCTATATGTGTTTTAACTGTTTTGAAAAGTAATAACTTTGTATCCGTACCTGTATAAAACTATTGAGTGAAAAAATGTACATTTCCGTGTTTTTTTACGTAAAAAATATCTCTTGGTAAAAATCGCTACGAGCAACCGTTGTCAAGATATTTAAACTGGGAACAGTCAATACATGTCATTATTGACAAAAAATAAACGTGTTCTGTAGATAGTTATTTGACAAATGATAAATTTGGGAAATTTTTAATTTTTTTAATTAATCATAAATTTTTCTTCGAAAAAATGATGATAAAACAGTTTCTGTTGAACTTTTGGCACCAAAACATTTGAAATTTATGATTTCGGTCTAATAACTATTTGGTCAACATGTTTAATTTGTCAATGACGACAGGTATTGATAATTTCGATTCCAAATATCTCGAGAACCATAACTCGTAGCGATTTTTACAAAGAGACTTTTTTTACGGAAAAAACGTCGTAAATGTATATTTTTTTACTCGGTAGTTTTATACAGGTAAGGATGAAAAGTTATTACCCTGCAAACAAGTTAAAAAATATGTAGGTGTCGCCCAGTCGCCCTCTATATGTAAGAGTCATATTTACTGTCCTCCATTCACGCAATTGTGCAGCTCTGAACTGTTCAAGAACGCGATAATCTCACTCCATTCAATTGTGTCATAAAGTTCAGAACTGTTCCGCGCCATATGGAGGCACCAGTCTATCGCGCACAGCTCCTTTCAGAAACGTTCTGAGTAGCCTAGTGCGTAAAGCTCTGGAACTTGAAATTCGCGAATGGAGGACTGCAATTGACATCAAAATCAAATTTCTCATATCAAGAAACTACCAGACGCCAATTTTCATCCAAATATTGACGTTACTTCAGAAATTATTTGGGAAAAATCAAAGTAAAAATGAAACTTCTACCTAACCAAAATATCTCCTAAACTAATTATTTTGGGATATATATTTATACGGACTTTTTTACTTATTTTTATCTGCAGAATATGCTGCCGAAGTTTCCGGAATACAGTGCGGACCACCCTGTATAACATTTACAATACAAATATCATGTTACATACAATTAAGTATGTTATTAGCCAACAACTTCCTTTCGATGATGCCTTCAAGATGATGATTGAGAGGGACAAATGTAAACGAGCCTTTATGTTTTATTAAAAGTGAACAACAGAACTTA